CTAGGACAGGAACGCGGGTGGGGGCGTGGCGAAGGGGGCCGGGAAGGAAGGGAGGGAGGGGAAGGGGCGGGCGGTGCTGGACTCTCCCCAGTGGGGACAAGCGGAGCCTGTCTCCTGCTCAGATCGCAGAAGAGCCAGTGGACGTACGAGCCTTTCTCGCGGCGATGGGCTCCCTGGCGGCCGCCCTCTGGGCAGGGCTCCATCTCCGGACTCTCCTGCTGGGTGCCGTCGCCTTCCTGTTATTTGCTACCTTTTTTAGAATGCGGCGCCCAAAGAACTACCCGCCGGGGCCCTGGCGCCTGCCTTTGGTCGGCAACCTCTTCCAGCTGGACTTTGAGCGGTCGCACCTGGCGCTGCAGCGGGTAGGAGCGGGCAGAGGTGCCCGGCCGCGTCCTGCCCGTCACCCTGATCTGCAGGAAGCTGGGGCGGGAGTTGGGTGGCTCTGCTAATGCTGGTAATCTGGGAGACGTCGCTTTGGGCTTAATTTTCCGTACCCATCAACTGGCATGACTGTACCTGCCCTTTCTAGGGATGGAATATAATTATTAAGTGTTTACTATTCAAGTGTGCTAGGCCTGTAACATTTCCTTAACTCATTTAATTGTATGTCACCTTGTTAGATATTGATGGAACCTCTTATTTATAACATGATTACCTTGTTCTCTTTTATATTATTTTCCTTAAAAATGCTACACTTTCCTTCTCCGAGGCTCCGTTTTCCATATGTAAAATGGTGATAATAATACCTGAATCCTCATCATTTCTTCACTGGATTACTCCCACCACCACAGTGAGCCCCTCGGCTTGCCCCTCCTCCTCCTGCAATGGACTCTCACTACAATAATAATTTTAAAATATCATTTCTCTTCTTGAATTTTCTCAGTGACTCCTACTGCCTCCCAAACTGTTCAGACTCCCTAGAGAGCCACTTGGAACCCTTCTTGGCCCAGCTTCTTTCCACCTCCTTATAATCATCTCCCACCAGGGCTCCCCTACTCCTGCAACTCTGAATTCTTTGAAGTTCTCTCAGCATCAAACACTTCCTCAAGAATTCTCTGCTAGTTTCCCTGCCACTGAGCACAAGGACCTTGCTGAGAGACAACACTGTGACAAGTGGTTATGAAGATGAAATAAAACAGTGTTAAAAAAGCCATAAACATTAACATGGTTTAAAGTTGGTGTGTGGCAAGTATTAGTTCCCCTTTCCCTACAACTGCTGAAAGTACTTTAAATAAATGCCTGTATACCCAAGTATAGTTACACAAGGTTTTATCACTCTATGGGAGAAACACCCAATTGGTAACACTAAGTGAAAGGATTAGTCACAGAATTTTAAAACTAGGCCCCTAAACCTGTGCCCTTGTTTAAGAAATGTTTTGTTTAATTTCCAAGTATTTGTAGATTTTCTAGTTATCCTTCTGTTAATGATTTCCAGTTTGCTTCCGTTATAGTGTAGTATATAGTACATACCTTGTATGATTTCAATTCTTTTAAATATATTAAGGTCAATTTAATGACACAAGATATAGTTTATCTTGGTAACTGTGCCATACATGCTTGAAAAAAATTTATATTCTACTGTTGTTGGGTGGAGTGTTCTTTAAATATCAATTAGATCTTATTGGGTAATAGTCCTGTTTATTTTTTCTGTATCCTTGCTGACTTCTTATCCACTGATTCTGTCAATTACTGAAAGAGGCATGTTGAAGTTTTCAACTACAGTTGTGAGTTTGTCTGTTTCTCCATTTGGTTCTGATAGTTTTTTATTCGTGTATTTGGAAGCTCTGTTGTTTTGTGTATAAACATTTAAGATTGTCATGTCTTCTTGGTGAATTAACCCTTTTATCATGTAATGTTCCTCTTTATCCCTGGTAAATTTTTTGCCTGAACTTTATCTGATATAGTATAGCTACACCATCTCTCTTTTGATTAGTATGTGCTTAGCATATCCTTCTCTATTCTTTTACTTTTAACCTATTTATATCATTATTATTTGAAATGAGTTTCTTGCAGACAGCATATAGTTGGGTCATTTATTTTTTTAATTCTACCAATCTGTTTTTTAATTGATGAATGTAGACCATTTATGTTTAATGTAATTTTGATATATTAGGATTTAAGTCTACCATTTTATTATTTGTTTTCTGGGGCTTTTCTCCTCTGTTTTTCATTCCTCTGTTTCTCCTTTCCTGTTTTCCTGTGGGTTACTTAAGTAGTTTTTTTAATAATTCCATTTTTACTTATCTGTAATATTCTTGAGCATATCTCTATGTATTGTTTTTCAAGTGGTTGCACTGAAGATTACAGCATGCATATATGACTTATTGCAGTCTACAAGTGTCAACATTTTACCACTTCTAGCGAAATATAGATACCTTACAACCATTTAGTTTCCTTTTCCCTCCCCACTTTATAATTGTCTTCAATATTATCTCTACATACACTGAGAACCACCTCAGACAATATTATAATTTTGCTTTTAAATGTCAAATGCAATTCTGAAAACTCGAGAAGAATAGTGTATTTTATTTACTCATTTATTTACCCTTTCCAATGCTCTTTCTTCATTCTTGATGTTCCAAGTTTATAATTTGCTTTCTGATCTGAAGAACTTTCTTTACCCATTCTTTCAGAGCAGGTCTGCTGGCAAAAAATTCTCTAAGCTTTCCTTCATCTAAGGATGTCTTTTTATTTCACCTTCATTTCTAAAGTATATTATCACCAGATATAGGATTCTAGGCTGACGGTTTCTTTCACTTAACCTCTTAAAATGTACTACTTCTTTCTTGTCCCTGTAATTTCTGATGAGAAATCTACTGTTATTTGAATTGTTATTCCCCATATGTAATAGTCTTTTCTCTCTGCCTGATTTCAAGAATTTTGTTCGTTTTTAGTTTTCTGAGATTTCATCCTGATAAATCTTGGGCTGTTTTTTCTGTTTTGATTCATTAATCTGAAGGTTTGTCTTTTGCCAAATTTGGGGAACTTCAGCCATTCTTTCTTCAAAAAATTTTTAACCTTACATACTTTTCCCTCTCTTTCTGGGATTTGTGGACACTAATGGCACAAATGTTAGATATCTTATTGTTGTATCATAGGTCCCTGAGGCTCAGTTTTTGTTATTTCTAATCTATTTTCTCTGTGTTGTTCAAATTGGATACTTTCTACTGATTGTCTTCAATTTAACTGATTCTTCTGTCAATGCCACTCTGCTATTGAGCTATTCTATTGAGTTT